TCTGGCCAATTTAGCAAGATATCCATTTATCTCAGTGTTAAATAGACTTGTCCCTTGTAATCTTATTTTTTCTGGCAAAGCTTCGTCTCTTCATACTTTTTTTATGTTACATTATGCAAAAGATATTAGCATTTCACGTAAAATTTCATTAAAATTATTTACATGTATGCAAAATCCGTAACTATGTCATAAGGTCTGAAAAAAGGGGTGGAATGGCTGAATCAGTCACAAAAGCTTTAGTAAACTATGAAATTAATAGCATACTAAATTGCAATGAATTTTTTTACTAATAATTAAAAATTACATATAATATTATAATTAAAAATAACAAAGACTATTAAAGAAAGTCACAATACTGATAAAAAAACTTCTCAAAAATAGGATATGATTAGTTGACTTATTAAAAATTTCTTTATCTGATTGTTATTTTTTGCTAACAACTTCTTTATACAGACTTTTCAATTATAGGTATTTATCCTCCTAGGTTTTTTTTTTTTTTTGTGTGTGTGTGTGTGTGTGTGTGTGTGTGTGTGTGTGTGTGTGACTGTTTTTTCAGAATTGTTGTGGTTTGAGCAAAAAATATTATCGTAAGCTTACTTAAATCTAGTGAAATTAAATTTTCACCAGTTGAAAACTATCTCATTTAATTTTTAATATGGCAGTTTTAGTTATGAGATTAAAACGTGTGAAGACATGAAAATTTGAAAGTCAGGAAAAATGAGAAATAAACTGTGCCCTCACCGGAATTCGAATTGCAGATCTTTTCGTTACTAATTGGATGTGCTAACCATTTGCATCACAAGAGCTCACACGGAAAATGTAATTTCTCCCATTCTCCTGCACTTAAAGAGCGACTGGGAATAGGGATGAGGCCCAATCGATAAAATATAGGTCATACCAAATAATCGTCCAGCAAAGGTTAGTTTAAGTTCCATTATAGAAACTGTTTAGCTTTTTCAGAATCAGGGAACCCAAGGAATCAACAGTGCCTTTGCCAAGATTCACTTAATCCGGACGTCCATAATCCGGAATGATCTATAATCCGGACCTCAAAGCTACAAACTTTCTGCGCATGCGTCAACGCATAATCCATTAATGCATGTGCATAATACCTTTACGCATGCACATAATACCTTTATGCATGCGCATAATATGTTTACGCATGCGCGTTTAATGTATAATGGACGTTATAAGCTAAGCTAAAATTATCTAATTGCTTATTTTAGTTAATAATGCAGATTGCGTTATTCCTTAACCTTCTAATTGAATTCGACTTAGAATTTCCGATTCTGGAGCTACCAAAGGATCTACAAAGCGAAAGCATGTTTCGATGACTATCAAACAAAAAGTGAAATTGCTGCAAAAAATGGATAATATTCAGATCTTTCAATAAAATTTATATCACATCATAGATTTACTAGCTCCATTTGTAGTTCTTCTGTGGCATTGCTCAAACTTATTCAGATCTTTGAGGAGTAATTGCAAATGTCCTTAGTTTTTCTAACCATTCCGAAATCTGTTTATCAATTTCACGCTGCTGTGCGGGGGGCGGGTGGAATGATGCGGCACGCACAATGAACTGGAAGTTGATCTGTCACCACTATCCTTATCTGCAGGGCAGATGTTTTTATTTCATTCGGCTTATAACTCCTTACTAAATGTAGTATTTCATCTCGATGTACTCCGTCTTTGATATGATTTAAATCAAATTCCTCGTCATTATAAATATCATGAATACACATCAAATAGTTTTCTGGTTGCAATTTTCTAATTTCAACTATGCGTAATGTATGCTTTACGTATGCGCGTGTTGGAAGAAATGTTTAATAAAGTAAAAAAATAAATATTAAGCTTTTTTTTTTGTAAATTTTGATACCCTTTAGATAATAATTGCTCTTCATTTCATAAATTACGGTTTCATATTTTAATTTTATAATTTCTGCATGCCATCTTACCAGATTTAAACTGATGATCTATAATCCGTAAAAACCGATAATCCGGAATCGCCGAAGTCCCGACGAGTCCGGATTAAAGACTATTGACTGTATAATTAATCTATTTGTAAACTGAATGTGCTAACCAATTAACCATGACAGCACATACGAGAGAATGCATTAATTCTATATCTGTATCTATCACTTTTACAATGAAAAGGAATTTGTCTGAAAAATGGAACCTTTATTGTTTCTTGAAAATATAATTTATTAACCTTTTTTTATTTTCTTCTGTTCGGATTCTGTTGATATATTAGCTTTAAAGCTGAATATTCATAATTGCCAAGCATATTTTCACTTTTTTTTCAAGAAAGAAATAATCTGTGTAACATTTTTGTTTCTTTAACTGAATGTGGTAAAGCATGCGAGAGCTATTTACTTAAGGGATGCTTTTGTGGAGGGCTTTAGGAAATGAGCTAGCATTCATGTAACATATGGGGAAAACACGAAACATGCGTAACTTAGGTTAAGCAAGTCCGCGTTCTTATGCATAACTCAAGTTTTTGAGTGAAAGACTTTATTTACATTTTCTGTTTATTGCAGTTTTAAATTCCACAAAGGTAAGGTACATGAAGCTTAATGCAGATTAACTTAAAAGAGGCTATTATAGTTTCAATTGAATATTCAATCATTTATAATTAATGAAGCTTTTAATTTGGTTTAATTAACTTGTTAAGGAAAACACATACAAACAATATCTGCTTGAGGAAGGGATGCTTTGTGAAGGGACTTTTAATTCAAGAAACTTCAGATAAAAGAAGTCAAATCTTACCTTATCTCTTTACATTCCAGTCTTGATATAAAATTAAACTAAGATACTGATTTGCTTAATTCATCTGGCAATAACTGTAGCTGTTCAATGAATAGCCATAAATGGTGCTAACTGTATAGTTCTGACTAAATTTAAGTATCAATACAATAGGACAAAATCTCAAATTAAGCATCTCATTCAGTGGCAAGATTTGGAATGAAAAATGCAGCAAGGCGAATGTTATGTGAAGATAGGAGTAATCGACCTATAATGTGATGTATTTCATTTTCAGCCATTGTTTAAAATCTTGATGCTATTCCAGTGCACTTTTGTGCATAGGTCTCTGGAAAAAAATTTTAGGCAACTGCCATGACTTCTAAAATCGGTTCTTGCCCTTTATAAAGCTTGCTATAGTGAAGTTGAACCATTATGAACTCTCACAGGATATCTTAAGCAGAAAGTGTAATAACAGCTCATATACAGATTAGATGGTACAAAATTCCTGATGTAGCAGCATGGCATTTTCTGGACAAGTTGATTTTATGTACCATATATTCTGGCATGTAACATACCCTTTCAGTACAAAAAATTAAGGCTGAAATTTATGAGTGCGCATTATATGCCAGATATAAAAATGATAGATTTAAAAATAAGGAATGAGCATTTAAAAAAAATTAGATTTTTATATGTACCTAAATATTGTTTATTTAAAAGAAATGACATACTTTAAGAACTTTAAAATTTTTATTATCGGATAACATGAAAAGTTTGTCATATTCGTCTTCTGTTATAACTTCAGGCACATCATCAAATTCTGTTTCATATTCACAACCATTGTTACTCTGATCCATAAATAAATAACAATCATCATCCATTCCATCTTTCAACATCAAACACCCTTGCTGTGGAATGATTTCCCTTTTGTTTCACAAATTGAATGGCTTGGCATTTGAAATCAGCACTGTGTTTGTTTCTTTTCATGGCAGCCATATTTACCACTAAAAGGAGCACTAAATCAACTGTATTTTAGTTTTGATTTTTCACTTCAAAATCACGGCTTCGAATGACTACAGAAAGACATAACATCTAACTCCTAATTCCACGAATTCATTCAGGCTGGAAGTGCATTCTTACTCTAAATTGTAGCCTCCTTTCCTTCGAAACCCTACAATAGCATTCTTTTGGACAACTGCATTGAATACAATCCATCCTCTTTGCAGGAATATTTACTCCCTCAAGCATTTAACCCACGCACATATTGTTCCCCTTATTGCTTGTCAATTCAGTATACCATTATTCAAAAGCCTAAGACAAATCTTCCAGTAGGTGAACTCAAAATATAAGAAAGAGCACACATATATCATTAGAGATTCTTTGTGAAGAATTGATTGCACATTATACATCAAATATACCTAAAAATAAAATAAAAAATTAAGTTAAAATTAATTATGTGCGTTATACAGTGGAAACTATGGTAGTTCACTACCATAAATAAATATAAATCAGCATCAGTACTTTATTCTCAACAATACACTTTAATTTTTGAAAACAGTTTATCTAGTGCTGTAAAACCATTTTGGAAATATATTAATATCATTAACGTTTCTTTTAATTCAGTTGGATTATTTCAGATAAAAATTTATCCACTGTCTTGGAATTAAAGGAAATATAATAAAAATATGTATTTAAGAAACCAGATTTTAGGAGACTAATCAATTAACTCATATCTAAATAATTTTGCTGGTTAAATAACCTAAATAATTTGTAACCCAGACAGTTTGTTGTTTCAAAAGTAATTTGAAAGATGTTATTCTGACTAAGAATTTGCTTACGACTGGTAATTGATGGGAATTAGACAATTGGACATGTAGCATTGAGAATGAAACCAGTATTAAGTATATAATGTTTTTCATTAACTGTAAATAGTTACTGTTAGTCTGTTAATGCTGTTCCTTTTTTTAAGTGTGTTATTTTAAAAGTATCTCAATGTATTTCAAAGTCTAAAATCTTCCCTCTCCCTTTTTCCCCTAAAATGGATTTCTAACTTTTCATAGCCAATTTGACACCCCTAGTTGTTCACCTGAGGCAAATGCCTTATTTGCCTCGACAGTTGTCCCATTTCTGTAATTATTTATGATTCTAAATGCTAATTTAAATTGCCTTTGTTATTATGATTTGTATTTATAAACCTTTTAGCCTTACTAATTTTAAAATTGTGTATCTTTTTTTTTTTTTTTTTTTTTTTTTCCCCATAGAATATTTTTATTACTGGAGGTTGTGCTAATCTTCCTTATATCAAACAAAGAATAGAAACTGAATTACTAGCAATGAGGCCATTTCAGTCAAAATTCAATGTTCACTTAGCAGGTTTGTAATAATTTTTAAATATTTTGTTTCATTACAATGGTTTCTCATTTTGTTGAGTTTGAAATTTTCTTTCAATGAGAGGAATATTTTTCATATTTGAAATGATTCAGAAATAAGTTAATTTTTTAAAAAATCATATTTCAATGAATTTTTGTTATTTGAACACACTTTACACAAATTTCATTTCACCCTGAATTCATCATAAGAGAAATTTTAACAATGACAAAAGCTAAAACAGTTGTCAGTATGCTGTCAACTGCATTGTATAGCACTCTTGTGAACCTTTATTACCCAAATAAGAAAACAACAATACCCCTAAAAAAAAAAAAAAAAAAAAAAAAAAAAAAAAAAAAAAACATCTTATCACATTTAATAATCCTTAGACTTCTGTCAGTTTAAGGATTATAAATGTGGTAAAGGATGTAGGATTACTGCAGAACTGAAGGAAATGTTTATGAAACTGGATAACTGCTTCTTTGAGAAATCTTTCATAGATGAGATGACTACTGCAATAGCAGAAAATATCTCTAGTATATGGAGAAGGCAAGTTTTTATAAAATTTCACATTGAACTTGTATTCCATAGGACTTTTGGTGGGTGACTATGCTTTATAAATATCTTTACAAAATTCAAAAATATTTATTCATGGATTTTAATGTTTTATTGAAAGTCAAGTATCACCTGATGAACATAATCATAACTAAAAGTTTTGCACATTAAGATTATACGTTGAATTTATAAGTAAGTTAAATATAATGAGATTTAAGTACAGAGGAGATGTATGCCATTAACAAATATTAAATTAGGCAAACCTGAGCCTTGGATTGACATTAAATTTAATCATAAAAGTTATGCTAATCTAATACGTGCTTGAGTTATAATGCTAATTAATACGTGCTTCAGTTTTACCTAATTTTATCTGAGATTTAGGAGTTCAGCAGTTGTCGTTCATTTATATGAAAAATAATTGAAAATCACATATTTGTTCCCTCATATGCAAAACAAAGAGTACTCAATAAAAATACATATCATAGCTAATTTTTAACTTAACAATGGATACTGTAAAGAATTACTTCTATTGCACCACTAGTTTTATCTTATTTATTAGAATCAATTTAATAGCTGTATGGCCAGCCACCCACAGATCACTAGAATGATAAAAATCTATATATGTTTGGAATTTCGATCTGAGTTCTCAATTGGAGATAAACTCACCTGCATAGTTTAAGTTTCAAATTAAATGAATAAATAAACTGATTCACATATTGAAACTATATTAGATATGTAGTAAAACTAGAACTTCAACAGACAATCTGCTCAAACTTGCTTGACCTTCATTGACATCAATCCAAATAATGAGTTCATTTTCTCTTTTATCTTACCTGCTAGGTTCAATTTCTTTGGAGGTTTGGGCTAGCGTACATTTGAAAATAACCCTCATGATATATGGGAGATTGTAAGGAAATTATGTATTGCAATATAGCCTACTAATGTTTTCAGTAGCTTTCAGATTTTAAAACTACTTTTTTCTATAGTTGTCTTAATGATTTTAGCTTTGTGCTGTAGGGTAGTGATCTTGAACTTAAATTAATTACATGTAGGCTGAATGCAGAATCTAAAAGCAGCTGATGTGTCAGATTTTTTTAAAATAAAATGAGAGTTTGTGTAGAATCATTTCTTCGTACTCACTTTCAGTTTCTACTAGCAATGTAACAAATTATTTGATGATTCAGGATTTACTTGAACTTTTCCATGGATAAAGTTTACTGTTTCCGTAATATATTTTCCATGTGTGAGCTTTTGGCACCAAATGCTTCTTAATGAATAATGCAGTGTATGGTGCAAAAAGTATTCTCAAATTTTCTTCTTTCACTATATTTCTAAATTTCACTACTACTGCATTTTTTTCCAACCATAGCAGCTGCATCATTACTTCTAAATCCAAATTATTTTATCCCAACTTAAGGTATATTTTTCCTTTATTGTTTTCATTTCAAAAAGATATCCTATGCAGCAGTTTACCCCCCTCAAGAATTATTTCCAAGAATTCCTCAATTATTTCTAATTCATTAATAGCCACCTGGGATGAAAATGGCTGTACTATATCTGTATTGTCAGTTCCCTCTTCAACTGCTCTTGAGAATGCTCCAAAACCTATACTTTTTTCCTTTTAACTGACTTTGTAAATCATTCACAGTTTCTGTAATACACTCCCAGTCATATTGGCTGTCAAATCAGAAATTTTAAGTTATTGTTATTTGCCAGGTTTGATCATTTTGCAGTAATGTGTGCGAAAATAAAACTTGAACTTTTGCTTCATTGAGTTTACTTACTTCTGTGAAAATTTTGTTGGTTGTTGTAAGCCATATTTCAGAAACTATAATTTTTCTTTCCTTAATTTGCTTTCGAACATTTAAAATTTTTCATTGTGATTTTCTTTGTAATAGTAAAAGTAAATTGTATTGAAACTTTGGAACTGACATTACCTTATTATAAATAAAATATAAAATTGTATTGCACACAACACCATAAGAGTACATAACTTTCCATTTATCTTGAAAAAAAATGTCCTTCGTCTGCCTTTCTTTTATCCTTTGTTAAAGACATCACTTACGCCTGAGTCTTTTAATAAAAATCACTGTTGCAATTTTATTTATAACTTTAATTCAACCAGATGAATCCCTGTAAAGCAAGAATGCATAATTCTGAACAATAGGTATTGATATAATGTAGCATTAACAACCACAAATAAACAAGTTTTATGAATAAACAAGTTTTAGTTTGTTTTGTGTGAGAGGTCTTCAGACTGTCACCCACTGAGCCATTTTAATAGGTTAAAAAGGAAATTGAATGCAATTGTCTCACATTCTCTCCTTTTCTTTAACTTTCCCCATAGGAAAGTTTACAAGATGTTTGATATTTATCTCACCCAACTGTGCTTTTGCTGAAGGTCAATGTATTTTAAGTACCTCACCATGCTGGCATTCTTGACTAAAATAAACACAAAAGAAAACATGCTTGGAGTCTTTCTCATACATTCATGCACATTTTGTTCAAAAGTATAAATGGTGGAGGGAAAATAATTAATGAAATGTTGCATCAGTTAGCAAAGGAACAGGTAGCTGTAGACATCATAATTGGTTAGCGATAAATGAAGCTTGTACAGTTGATTCAAGCCTGAATAATCATAATTGTTTCTGATTCTGAAATTGAGAAGTGTTTTTGGTCTTTGAATGAGTGCACTATGACTAGCTGTGATAACAAAAAAGCTGAAGAAAAAGTGTGATTTTTCTCAAGAAAAGTGGTCATCTTTACTTTTTCGTTGGGTACAAGAGTAAGGCAATTTGCTTTATTTGCAACAAGCATGCAGCTGTAATGAAAAAACACCAAGAGGCATTATGATACTAAGGATATTTTTGAAGCTATAAAGTCAGTGAATTAAAATCAATGCTGAATTGTCAGCAGCCTTTTTTTCTTCAGAGTATGAAATAGTCTGAAAATAGTGCCTATGTTAGGTACATATGTTAGCAGAAAAAACTGCTAAATATAGAAAACCTTTCATTAACAGAAAGTTTGTTAAAGAATGTCTTAAGTGTGCAGTTGATGTGTTTTGTTCAACACAGGCTCAAGCTGTTTCATTAGCTTACCTGGTGTGACAGTAGCGAGGTGCATGAAGGATCTGGCAGCAGATATATTCAATAAGTTAAAATCCAAATACAAGAACATGTGTGTTTTATTCTGTAGCTATGGATGAAACAGATTACACTCTACCTATTTTAACACAAGCACAAGCAGTCACTTTTATTCATGAGGTTGATAAAAAGTTCATTTGTAGAGAAATTAGCCAGTGTTGTTGCACTTAATGTTATAACAGAGCAATTAGATTTGTATTCAGTCTGACAAAAACTTGATTAAATGTGAATTTGACTTGAGGAATATATCTGCCAAAACCACAGATGGTTTCTTCTCTGACTGAACAGAAATCAGGAGTAATAAAATTACTCATATCTAATGCAAAGGCATGTAGAAATAAGTACTACAAATGCTTTCCACTATCATCCATCAAGAAAATTTGTGCAAGAAGTTCTTCTCAAACTTTGAGCTGAGGAAAGATGCTTCATTCTCTGTTTCCTCTGAAGGATTAAGTTCAACAGTTCATGGAATATAAAGGGGAATCCATGGGCTAGTTCCATGATGAGAAGTGATTAAGAAGCTTTGCATTTTTTGTTGATATTTACTGGTCATCTCAAAAATTTGAACTTCCACTTACTGGGGAAAGGACTACTTGCTCATAATCTTTGACTGTATGAAAGCTTTTGAGCTAAATTAATCCTATGGGAAAGTCAGTTGCTAAATAAGAATTTCATTCACTTTCTAAAATTGATGAAGTTTTTGAACAAACTACGGTGTGAAAACCAAACAAGTATATACAGTGCATTTCAAATCTAAGAGTGGAATTTAAAAGCAGATTTTTGATTTCCATGAGAATAAAATTTTCAGGAGAATGTTCTCCTTGCTATTCTCAGTTGACATTGAAAATGTTGCACCTGAACTTAATTTGGTTTATGTGATTTTGGTAAAGCATATTAGGGCTATCTGCCTAAGAGGAGGGTTGCCTTTGTGGAGGACATTCTGAGGGAAATTAGCTCATATACACGTTAGACATGGAAAAAACCATGAAAACACCTGTGCAGCCAGCCTGTTCGCCTAGAATTGAGCTCAGGAAAATGTTATTGAAAATGTTACTAAATTTTTAATTGAATTTAATTTTTAAATGTTAATTGTAAAATATGTTGATAAAAATATTAACAAAGCAGACTTTTTCAGAGCAAAAGCAATTTTTATAATAAAATAGGTACAGGGTAATCTTTTCTCTGCTATTCCAGTTTCTAAAATAATTTAATTCATCCACAAATCTTAACGTCTGTATAATGTTGTAGATGAAATTATGTTTAATTATTCGTATATTTTTTTCACTTTAGATAAAAGGTTTGATAAATCATGTAAAGAAACTTAAAAAATATCAAATCAAATATATAATATGCCCAAATCATCTGAAAAAAAATATTTAATATTTTGAAATTATCTTTCAAATTTTAATAAGACTTTATAGAGTCATTGAGTAAACTATATTTTATGTCATAATACAGTCAAAAGTCATTAATCCGGACTCGTCGGGACTTCGGCGATTCCGGATTATAGATCATCAGTTTAAATCTGGTAAGATGGCATGCAGAAATTATAAAATTAAAAATATGAAACCGTAATTTATGAAATAAAAAGCAATTATGATCTAAAGGGTATCAAAATTTACAAAAAAAAAAAAAAAAAGTAGTTTAATATTTATTTGTTTATTAAACATTTATTTCAATGTAAGTTGTTTAAGTTGCTTCGTTTTATGTGATAATACTTTCTCTTTAATTCTATAAACAGACATAATTTCAGTCACAGACATTTGAAAGACATTAATTCAGACATTTCTTCAGTCACAAAGTTCTGCTGTTCAAGTCCTATAATTGCTGTGTCGAGAATACCGACTAATTTGTCAATCGAAATTTTTTCGTTTTCAATAACCTGTGTGTCACTTTCTTCACTATCGGAAGCGAATTATAATGACGAGGAACTTGATTTAAATCATATCAAACATCGAGAGTACATCGAGATGAAATACTACATTTAGTAAGGAATTATAAGCGAAATAAAATAAAAACATCTGCCCTGAAGATAAGGATAGTGCTGACAGATTAACTTCCAACTCATTGCGCGCCGTGGCGTTTCCCCCACCCCCGCGCCACAGAGCAGCGTGAAATTGATAAACAAATTTCGGAATGGTTAGAGAAACGAAAAATATGCCTTTATCCATTTTTTGCAGCAATTCCACTTTATGTTTAATGGACTTCGAAACATACTTTCGCTTTGTAGATCCTTTACATATTAGTAAATATATATCGGAAATTCTATTTGACATAATCGAAAGTTCAAGCTTACTTTTATAAAATTGCTCTAACAGTCTGCAAAAAATAATAAGCCGGATCCAATTTGAAGATTAAGGAACAACGCAATCTGCAACATTAACTGAATTAGATCATTTTAGCTTAGCTTTATACCGTCTGTTATACATTAAACACGCAAGCATAAACGTATTATGCTCATGCACACACGCATATTCGCAGCCGTAAAGGTCTTAAGCAGAAAGTTTGTAGCTTTGAGGTCCGGATTATGGGTGTCCGAATTAACGACTTTTGACTGTATTAAAAAGGATAAGTATTAAGTAAAATTAAGGTGAAATATATAAATTATGTTTAATTTTATTAAAGCTTTGCTAATAATTATAAGTATTATCATATTATTCAGGAAATATTGTTTCAGGCTATAAGTTGTGGCATTTGTCTCATATTTCACAATTTTATAACATGGTATGATGAATTTAATTTAAAGTGCTATCTGTTTTAGAATGCAGAAATGTGCATTTCTTTAACAAATATTTTATTGTTATCTTTCGTGGAACAAAAAATTTCCCTGAGAAAAAAATTCTGCAGAAAGGAAGCCACCTTTTCAAAAATCAAAGTAAAACTATTTTGTTCAGAATCACAAATTTTATTAATTAAAAAAGAAAAAAGAGAGATAATAAGTACCTCAAGAAAAATTATTTGATTTCAGAGTTTTCCCTGCCTGAAATCTTGAAGCATAAAAGCATCAAATCAAAATACAAATTTTTAAATTTAAGCAAATAATTGTTTAATAATTGGAAAGATATTTGCTTTAACTTGTGATATGAAGCATCAATTCCGTTGTGCTGATTGAAAGAAACAGTGTTTATTTTGGTGGAATCACACATAGACCAGTTCCCTAGCTGTGATTTAGTTACTCAGCGCTCAGACCTTATTTATCCTTATTTATTAATAATTCTTTTTTTCTCAATTTTAAGTTCATAGGCATGCATCATGCATTCTGGAAGTATTAAATAATATTCTTTATGCACCATTAAAAACCAAATAATTTTGTACCAGGTATATTGGGTTAGGTAAATATTTTATTAATAATAATAATGCTTCGAACATTCAAAAAGTAATTTGTTGAGTATGTTGTAATTAAATGTATTCTTCTTTATATCAGTTAGGTATATTATAAAAAAATAAAATAAAATTACTGATTATTAAGATGTGTTTGTTACTTAATGTTTCAAATATTCAAATGGAATTTTTATTTTTTATAGCAAATCCAGTTATTGATGCTTGGAAAGGAGCTCGAAAGTGGGCCTTAAGTGATGATAATTTAAGAAAGTTTTCTGTGACTCGCAGTGAATATGAAGAAAAAGGTGGGGACTATATTAAAGATCATTTATGCTCGAATCACTACATCACATTTCCTACTCCCACTCGCAAAGTTCAACCAGTTGTTCAGCCAGCTCCGTCTAAATCAGAACCTGAAATAACATGACCTGTGAGAGTGCTTAAGCTGAAATTTCTGAAAAGAAGGTCATTAGCATGTTTATTTCCAAAAATAGTGTGCTATGTTCAGGAAGAACTGAATATAAATTAGCAAAAAAAGAAATGTTAATAATAATTGCAGTCTAAAACTTCATATTACAACACTTCAAAAACAGTGTGTTATTAAAAAAAGTAAAAATTGTACTTTATCAAACAATCTTACAAATACTTTGTATTCTAGAATAATTTGTAGAAATATCTAATCATTGTCACGTGTTCTATTCAAATACTTTTATAAATCTAGAATGTTGTATAAAAGAAATTAGGCAAACAAAACAAAAAAGAAACAGTTTTTCATAGACGATTTAGTATTACTCATTCAACTAATTCAGTTCTCACTTCGCGACAAGGCAAAAATACATAAAAACTCAAAATATCTATATTAAAAATTTTGAAGTAAATCTTAAACACTTATTTTCTCAAAAAATTCCAGAAGCATGATTTAATTTGCAGCATAATAAGCATGATAATAAGCATGCAGCATAATAAGCATGATTTAATTTGCAATAATAAGGCGTTATCTTTGTTGTTGCGAAGCTTAGTCTCTCTAAATTGGCAACAAATCTACTAATTAAGACACAATAACACGCCGAATAAATACTAATTTAGAAGTCAAACAACAAAAATCAGCGTTAATTTACAAAATTTTCACAGGACTAGTTTCGATGGTTTTACCGAACCATCATCTTCAGCTGCAAAACCGCAAATGAACAAGATAGGAAATAATGTTTAGATAAGATAAGAAAGCCTGGACAAGAATAAGCAAGTGGCGCCATCTGTTGGCGAAACCACAACTAAAACATAATTTCTCTAAAAGCCGAAGGCAAATTTGGATTGGAATTAGGATCGTTAACTAGAACAGAAGATTTTTATGAATGTGAAATGCCTCTAGAAAATCCAGTTCTCCAATGGAAGATGTTTTTTGAATAATTTTGGCAGCAGAAAATTGAAAGTGTGATTTTCGGACCAACAATGTTTTGAGCAAACAGAAGACTTCTGTGTTTCCTTTTTTCTAACATATGCCTCATGTTCTTTGACGCGAAATTTTAAGGCTCTCTTAGTTTGGCCAATGTAAATTAAAACCGCACTGGCAAGGAATCCTATAAATACCCCAGGAATTCATATCCGGAATGAGGTCCTTGAGTATAGAAGTTGGAATTTTATTGATGGGAGAGTAAACAACCCGAAAGTTAAATTTTCTGCAAAATATGTGCAACTTTATAGCTAATTGATGGAAAGAAGGGAATGACAACAGAATTTTTATAATCTCCTAAAATAAGAGTGTGGCTTTTAGTGTGTTGAGATGAGAATTTTTTAACTGCTTGATTAATAATGTTGGGTGAAAAGCCCCTGTCAATAGCTATTGCTTTTAAATAATTTAGTTCTTCATCAAGGGCTAGTTTGGAGGAGCAAACTTGAAGAGCACGGAAAACATAGAAATAAAATGAAGCTAACTTTTGTTTAGTCGGATGACATGATTTAAAGTGTGGTGGAAGGCAAACCGATGAAGGTTTACGGTAAACTGTAGTACTGAAATTGGATGTGTTACGTGTGACCAGAATGTCGAGAAACGGAAGAGAATTGCAAGTCTCAAGTTCAAAAGTGAACTGAATAGCAGGATCAATAGAATTCATTGTTGAAAGAACTCTATTTAAATCATCTTTATTACCTTCAAACAGGGTAAAAGTATCGTCTACGTAGCGGAACCATGCCGGGAAGCTTAAAGTTTCAAACAATTTTGATTCATAATAATGCATGTAGATATCAGCCAGGATGGGACTGAGGGGGCTTCCCATGGCTAATCCCTCAGTTTGCTTTGAAAATTTTGTAAATTAACGCTGATTTTTGTTGTTTGACTTCTAAATTAACAAATCTACTATTCTGCTGTTTCAAATGTAAACAAATATGTCCACCATGTTATTTAAAAATTAGGCTTAACCGCACTTAAACAGCTTTTAAATTGTTGATAATTCTTTAAATATTGCTTGCAGATTTCCTAAAGGCATAAAAACCTTAACCAGAAGATAAGAACAACATAATTTAATCATTTTTAAAGCAAAAAATGCACAATTTACAAACATATAAGAGTAAAGAAACTGAGATCACTGAGCCCAGTAACAGAGTAGATATATATATATAAATATATTATATCAAGCAAGGTAGTAATTACAATTTTGAAAAACTAATCTTGGTGTATATAAATATATTTATATACATTTGGTGCGGCCGGTTGCAACCAAAATACAAGTTGCATATCTACATGTTATAGCAGTCCTATATACAAAATTTCAACGTTCTGAGGCTACTCATTTTTGAGTTATGCGAGATACATACATACATACATACATACATACAGACACCATGAAAAATTCTCTTCAGAATTCATTTTAAAGCAGTTTTGTAATTTTTTTTTGGAGGAAAAGAGTCTTTTATTTTGTCCTTACATACAGATGTCACGCAATAACATCATTAAATTGTGTTCGATAGCAATTAAAATGGATATTTTCATTGAAATATGCAGCCTGAAATGTTTCGCAATTACAATACTTCTTTTTTATTTTTATTTTTTACTTCGTACAAGGAAGTAAAAATTGGATTTTATTTTTTACTGCAGATGATTCTGTACACAAAAGGTAGTGTTTGAAATTAGAAAAGTCAACCTATTATAAGTTTGGAAACTTATATTATTTATGGCATTTTTGGTATATAAAATACATTTACTTGTTATAAAATGCTTTTAAGAGGTGCAGTTAAAATATCTATTAAATAATTAATTAAATGCTATTCTATTCAGTGCAGTTTTATAATATCAAAAATAAAGAAAGATTTTATTCAATGGTAACTGATAACATCTACATTTATATGAGGGAATTTTATTGAAAAATGAAACAATACCACTTCTTTGATGTGTTAATAATGATCTGTTTATAAACTGATAGCTTACAGTCAGTAAGTCAGTCTGAAAGAGACATTGCATATATGTTTGTATATATTAAAATGCTGAGTATTTGTAGAATGTGTCTCATCATGATATGGACTTCTTACCTATTGCCAATAGATGCATTTCTATAGCATATAGGGTTGCTAACAAATTGATTGGAAATGCATTTTGGAAGGGGGGGATCATTCTCGCCATAATTTTTAACATTCTCCGAACCTAAGCAAAAACAAAAAGAAAAAAAAGAATGTGTAATATGAATGATGATGCAATCCAAAATGAATTTTCTTTCATACCTGATGATAACAAATTTTTAATGTAAAAGTTGATTGCAGAAGTAGACATGTTAGTTTCTATTTTTCCCATAGCATACCTAATTTTTGTTAAAAGAGTTATGAACCTTTATTTCCTTAAACATGAGTCCATGGATGTGTATAAGGGTTATTTTTAAAATGATGCATACTAATTTTTTTCCCTTTATTTGTTTCAAACAGTTTATCCTTTATAATTGTCTTATGTATCCCTCTATTTCTTAATTAATACACATGCTAGATTCTCAGGTTTTTCATTTACTTTTGTTCAATTCTTGGATGGCTAAGGCAGCCACTGAAGAAATATCTCCCAAACAGGAAGTCCATGCAGAGGTTCTTTCAACCTTAAGAAAAGTCAAAGTTTGCTAAATTTATGTCCAAACTATAATGATATGCAAAAATGAAGAGAATTTGCAAATTATTTCTATTTTTATGAAAAGTATTGAACCAAAGGTACTAATTATGCCATGGAAGAAATATGTAAATATTCAGAGTTGAATACATAAGTCTACATAAGAACACATATGTGTGTCTGTGAAGCTGTGATTGTGGAGGAGGTTTAAGTGCTTGAGGGGTTTTCGGATATTTTTGTGCTTATATTCCTTAATGATATTTGTTGTATTTCTTGCAAGAATTGAAGATATTTTATAAGGTATCTTGTAAAATAAGTAGCAACAAACGTCTGGATGACAGAATGAGGTGGAGAATTGTCAGTAGATTAAAGGCAGACCAATCACAAGCACAAAGGGCTGCAGAGCTTAGGATAAAGTCCTGTGTCATCTACAATTTCTAGAAACAGTTTCAGAACACTGAATCCATATGAAGAAGATCTGAACAAGGTCAACCAAGATTAACAACAATGAATGAGGATTGTTTTTTGACACTTTCTTCACAGCAACACAGAACTGCTACAGCTTCACAGCTCTCACATCAGCCATATGCTGTCAGTGGAATCTGAGTTTCACAGTCTGTAGTTGCCTGAAGGCTTCACATAGCAATGCCAGAGGACTCGCTGTTTGCTTCCCACTGACTGCAGTTTTCAAGAGAACATGATTAGCATGGTGCAAACAACATTAGTCTTGTGCCAGACTTCACTGAAGCACCGTGCTTTTTACAAATGAGTCAAGATTGAAACTTGTTTTTTATATTTAATCATGAATCATTATAGTCTTATTTTATCTTTTTTATTATTATTGTTTTAATTTCTTATTTTATCTATTATTATTATTGTTTTGGTTTAAAAATGTGCACTGCAAATATAAACCATTAACCCCTTATGTAATGATATATCTGCATCTCTTGTATAAATTATCTCTATTTTTAACTCCCTGCATATTGTATCCTGCACATAATTTTACATAAACTGCCTAAAGTTTGAACCTTATTCTAAATTCAAAAATAAATAAAAAGAAAAATGAAAGAAAACATCTGAAAACTCTGCTTAATGATTCTACTTAATCGTAGTTTCAGCTATCAAAAAATCATCTGATTCTAACGTCTTGCCGCAAACATATAGAAACACAGCAAAGTAACAATATGACAACCCTATATTACAGTCTCACGTGAATCTTTGCGCCAAATAATTCTGTTGGTTAAATGCATTCTTCGCAAGCATACTCGTTTGTACGCTGTTTCCCTGGTAATGTAATTGTGCTTTTGCTAGTTACGTTCGAAGCATAGTCATGTGGACGGGCCTTAACTCTATGAAGCATGTTTGGGACACATTGGGAGGGTAATTTCATCTCACCATCACCCCCCCCTCTAAAACCCATCCCAAAGTTAAAAGCTGCCTTTCTGCAGGAGTGGGATTGACTGCCAAAGAGACTCCTCAACTGCCTCCTGTCCACTATGCCAAAACGCTGCACAACCTATCTGGCTGTGAGAGGGGACCATACCTAATGGTAGACTTGTTTTAAGTTCAATATCACAAGGTAGATTTTATACATTACTGCACTACTTTACTAATAACCATGCATACATAAAAGAACTTTTGAATGGTACATCTCTTTCTCTGTTATAAAACGTGTATTCGGGCAAGATTTC